AGTCATTTTTAGCAAAAAACGTGATGTAACTGCATTTTTGGTCATTTTGGGTCATCTCTTAGAATGTGGATTTTTGGATGGTAATCGATAGTCGGGGTCCGTACGAGTAGAAAGAGGTACATCACTTCGAAACCGGACTGTATTTACCCGAGATTTATTAAATATATTTATTATCGTACAAATTTTGAAATTTCGAAACCGACGCCATCGAAAGTTCTACTCCGTACAACCTGAATTTTCAAAATGAACCTTATGACTTTTGTAATCCTTTCAAATGGTTTCGAATCCAGTGGATTATATAATATACGAAGTAAGTACGCTACCAAATTGGAACGGTTGAAGAATTAAAACGCTTGCCTCTAAACAAAGGTTGTGCTCTCCGTGAAGGCGCCACAGAGTCTTAGCTTGTCGCCCGTAACAATCGCTCGCATAAACTGTGGCCCCATATAAAGACCCTTTTCGGTTGATTTCGTATCACCATCCAGACGTAAAACATAATCTTTGCTGATCAACCGATTGGATATATCCTCTTCGAGTTTAGGACTCAATATATCATACAAGCTGCCACTGCTGCACAGCACATCGCCCGCAGCGCCGCGCTTCTTATCTACAATTGTGCAGCTATTCTCATTCTTGAGTATTTCCTCAAACTGTCGCTTGATCTCGGCCAACGAGCTGCATTTTGGATAGCCAGCGAGTCGTTCAAAGCACTTGAACTGATAGAAACGACGCTCCAGCTCTGCCAGATCTTCGAGCAGATTCCTAACATTGGGCAGCTCATTCGTGTGGGCGCGCGAGACACGACACAGATCATTTAAAAGCTGTTCAATGTGGCTGCTAAACAGATCCTCCACGTGGGCATTGCTGTAGATGTCCTGTAGGAGTAGAAATAATATATGAATTGTGTGAAAATAATACTTAAATATAGTAAAAAATCCTTTTGAAAGGCTTTGTATATTGCAAGAGTATCTTAATGTTCGGCTTACATCTACCATAACTTACAATTAACTTCAGTATGGCCGTGTGCAGCGTGGGTATAATAGTCAGTCCATAGATTTCGCTCATATTACGCGTTTCCAGATAGTGTAACACCTTTAGCGCCTCATTGGTGTCATCGAAGAGGCGTCGCTGTCTGGCAACTGGAGTGGGCTGTGCCTGTTGCCACACCTTTTGCCAGGTGTTGCCCTCGGTGGTCATGCGCACGCTCAACTGATGCACAGTCTCTCCACTGTCTGGAGCGTTAATAAAATAATATGATATATTATCGTTGCAAACGCATCGCTAACTTTACTCCCTTACCATTCTGCACCTGCTCCCAGTCTTTGGGACTATACCAGCGTATAAAGTCCTCCATTTTGCCTCGAGGATTGGCCGCCTTGAATGCTTCCATATCGGACAAAAGCGAAGTGCACATCATTTGTGTGCTCAAACCCGAACCGGGTCCCAGTTTTAACATTACCTCCGCGTCGTCCTGCAGCTGATCTTCTGTCTTGGGCACCGGCTCTTGCGTTTCGGGTATATACAGAAACTCTTCGGGTTCGTCTAGCAAACGCTCTTGACCCAAACGCTTCAAGCGACCCTCTGGCTTGAGGCTGAGCACCGCTTTGGTTGGTGAGCCGCTTGCGGAAGTTGGTTCGTCGCAGTCATAAAATTCGGCATCATCCTCCTCGTCCTCATCCGTTAACAGCTGCTCCTCCACAACCTTCTGCTGCTGCTGTTTGCGCTTACCAAGCGCCTCGCGCTGCAAGCGACGCTCCACACAAACGTTGAGCATCTGCAGCTTTTGGTGCAGCAGACAGGTGCGTGTATCCGGAAAACCAGGTGCAACGCTGTATAAAGAGATTTCGGTTAAAGAGCAATGCAAGCGTAAATTAAGCAATATTTGTACAGTTTGTATTGTGAAAAGCAATTTAATTTAAAGCAAATAGTTTGGAATATAAACTTTGCAAATTGCAAAATAGCAAAAGCTTAAATAAGAGCGAATAAAAACCTTTAAGTTTACAGCTGACAGTCCTGAAAACATACCAAAGTTGTTGAAAAGTTGTGCATCTAGCAACGCAAGACGGATTTAAAAATGCAGTAACAGCAAAGTTCTTGATCTGGCAACTACTAATAACGAACAACGACATCAGCTATTACAACAAAGTTGTAAACCTCAGACTTATCAATAATATCATAAATATATCGATCAGTAGACAGTATTGTATACTGTGATGGTATATGCCGAATGTCTTGATAATAGCTAATTAAGATAATTAATAAGCCCAGATCAACCTTAAATAAAATATAAATGTCGATCTAAGCAACGTCAGTGTGTATCGATAAACATGAAAACATGATATATGATCATATCGATAAATGATTAATATAAATTATCGATAAGTGTACAGCTAATTGGCAACCCTGAAAGATCCAACCTGTCAACCCTGATAGTCTTATTTTGAGAATTTAAACATTTGGCAACTTTAGCACATAAAAACAAACTTAAAGAGTTAGAATTCATTTTTAACTGCTAGAAGTTAGGTAACCGTTCGCGAAATCAAAGTGTTGCAGACTAAGAATAAAGTTCAAAATGATAAACAGTTTGTTAAAGCCTTTTTTTTAATGATAAGTTGTTAAATAAACAGCAGATGTTTAGAAGTGCAGCAAAGTTAGAAATATTTACAGTTCATTTGTTAAGCTGTTAAAGTTTTATTCAATTTGAATATTCTCATCAAGCAGTTCAGATAATTTAAGCGGTACGTGTTGATATGCATCTATTTACAAATTTGCGTTGTGATATATTCCAAACAAAATAAACCTTTTTTAAGAATTTTGCATACCCTTAACAAAGACGGCGATTTGAAGTGAGCTGAGCTGAGCCCCTTTTCAAGCCAACAGCAAAGTGGCAATAAAGGCGTCAGCTGTCGGTGTCTATGCCAATGACAATGGCAACCTACATATGATATATATATATATATATATATATATATATATGCCCAACTATATCTTCAATCCACGACACGCACTGTCTAAAGACACAGAGGGAGAGAGAGAAAGAGGGAAAGAGAAAGGGAAAGATGGAGGGAACGCGTCTTTGTCACCGTCGTCGCCGTCGCCTGGCACATTTGGTATTCACGCTGTTTCATCCGCTTTTGTGTGGTGCGTGGCTTTCGGCTTGTGCATAGTAAATGAGCTCCTCTTGAGGGGCAACGGGGGAGGAGCTGCTGTTCCCGTGAGTCATGGACAAAGAGTTTATTGAACCTCAAGTAGTGGCAATTTGAACAGTTATGTGTTGCATGCACAACGCTTCGTCTTCTTCTTCTTTTGGCCAGCAACGGAACTGACTTGTTTGGTCAGCAGCGGATGTGTCCAGCAAATTGCTGCGCCCAATGCACAGCTCTACTCTGTTCTATTGTGCATTTGCATAAAGTTTGCTTATGAGTTTCGTATGGAGAGGCGCTGCAGCTGCTTAAAAGCTTTTTTAAAGCGGCTAAAAACCAATTGACAAGCATTTTGGCCAACAACTGCTACCAGAATGCTGACCACAATGGAGCTAGCTGCCTTCAGCTGGTATCTGGTTGGCCAGTTTAAGCTCAAGTGCGCTGTGCACATCATTAATTGTTTCGGAGGGGGGAGGAGCCGGGCTGAGGTGAACCTCGTCAGGACAACGCCCCCGGCCATAAACTGGCCAAATAAATGAGCTAACGTTACGTTTTAGTTTGTGGCCAGAGCATAACAATTTGTTTTGGCCCATTTTATTTTTGGCCAAGTGACTTTATAGTTCTATTTATTTCCCAAGCCAAGATGTTGAATATATAAACACACACTCAACATGCGCAAGTTGCCAAGGTCTTAGCCTTAAAGAGGCCTATGAGAGTTAAGAGACTGTGACAAAAAATAAGTACATTGCCTATTTTTGGCTTTCGTTATTTAAGGGACTTTCAATTAAATAGAAACAAAGTTGTTAACAGTCATGGCTTATTTTTTATCATATTTAAGTTAAATTTACTAAATAAACAATTACATTATTGCAAAATATAATTGTGTATAAGTAGAGAATTTGTATCAATAATTTATGTTCATAATTTTATTTGTATCGCATATTTTTTTAAAATAATACAACAGAATATAACACCCAAGCCTATGTCAACTCTATTGTTTATCAGCACATATTGTTTGTCAGCTTATATCAATAATCGAAGCTACTTTCAGAATATTATTTTTATATGTTAGATCTAAAGCACAGGGAAGCATCAAGCTGTATTTTTAGGGCTACAAAATGGCCCTCAAGAGTGTGTGGATACCAAAGCACAAGCTAAGATTGTTGTGAAAATGGCAGGAGATCTTGAGAAAAAAGAAATGAATAACTAGTTCTATATATTTGTATTTGTAATTGCAGGTCCCTAGCTTTTGTAGTTACCGAGATCGACGCGTTAATAAAGACGAACAAAAGTGAAATGAAATAGGGCATTAATAAAAGACTAACTTCTAGTCAAAATCCGAAAAATTATGCGATTAGGCTAATCAATTTTCGCTGACTACAATTTTTTTTGGCTATTTCCTTCTTTTAAAATTTATTTCTATTCCCTAAGCAGGCGCCAGCCGTGAAATAGAAAGTGATTTATGGCATTGTTAACAATCTTGCCATAGACAGATAAGAGTCATACGTGTGGTTCTTTAAGCTTACCGTACATGGGTATATATATACTTATATGTTTTTCAGGTGACCAGATTTTCGTAAGGCTTAGGCTTTACAGAGATTGATTTATCAATGTGACAGACTATAATGCCACAAAGTCATAGTCATATAGTTGGTTCAATCTCTACGTATATGATATTAATAATCTAATCTGTGGGTATTTCCTCTGGGCATGTTCTTCAATAATGAATTAAGATTTCTGTTGGCTTATCAAGCAGCAGATCCTTTGATATAAAAGCAAGCAAGCACAGTTGGGGCTGAAAGTGATTTCTGATTAGTTAGCAGCCAGCTGGCAGACAGAACGAAACAGAAAGTCGCAATGAAAGGTGGGTGCTGGCTACTAATTGACCTCTTCCAATATGTGGACTGAGTGCTTTGAATATTCACAGCGGGTAGCAGCCTTGTGGCACTCTTGATCTTGGGTCTGTGTGGATTGGGCCAGAGCCAGCGCATTGACGATATATGCACGCTCTTCTCGAATAATACGGTTATACGTGATCCGGAGTCGTGCAGTCGTTCGATAACCTGCATTGATGGCAAGAGCGTTTATAGCACCTGCAAGGGCACCACGCCGTTCTTCGACAAGGATTCGCTGAAGTGCGTCAAGACGCTGGAGGGATCAGATAGTTGTGGTGTGACCTGTGCGAATGCGACTGGCCTATTTATATCAGATCTAAAGTCATGCTTCGGCTACTATTATTGTATGGACGAGGAGACGCCCGTTTATGGCGTCTGTCCGGACTCTACGCACTTCAATGAGACCATACAGGAGTGCACCTGGAGTCATGCCTCCGAGTGCAAGACAAGCAGCTTTGACTACTGCAGCATCATCAAGAACGGCGTCAACTTTGACAATGTGCAGGGCTGTAATCGGTATCATGTGTGCACTAAGGGCGAACTGAAGGATGAGACCTGCAAGACGGGCTATTATCAGGCCAGAACTGGGACATGTGTGGACAAGAATCTAGTCGAATGTGATGCCCATCCCTTACCCAGCAATGTGTGCGGCACAGCGAAGAGCCCCAAGAAGAATGAATTGGTGCCAGATGGTGCCACCTGCCAGGGCTATTTCTTTTGCGCGGAGCAGGCCAATGGCACACCCGATGAGAATCCAATATGGGGCAAATGCGGCGATGACTTGTTCTTTGACAAGAGCTCACAGAAGTGCATTGAGCCCAACAAGGTGGCCTGCTCGGAGGATCGCTGCCAGGGCCGCACCATTCCCTTCGTTTTGAGCTCCACCAAGGGCTGTCGCCACTATTTGCGCTGTGCCGATGGTCGCACCATTGACGAGAAGACCTGCGGCAATTACTTCTTCGATGAAGCCAACGCCGTTTGTGTGGCTCATATTTTAACCTATGCCATATGCTAGTAACTTCGAAAATTGCCAAATAATTAAACATCAAAGGCTTTTCTTAGAATTCCCAAAGAGTTTTAGCTGGCAGGATAGTAAGCACTTGATATTTTTTTTAAGTTTAAGCCTTAGGAAATTAAATACATTTCGTTGAAATGAACTACAAATCGTTTGACTTTCTAGATTCCATAGGTTTAAAACAAGCATTAAAAATTTTGCTTGACTTAATCGACCACAATAATCTTAGCTCTTTAGGATTATCTTATCGTGGTCCCACAATGCAAACAATAAACCCTCATATATCATTGGCGGCCCAACACTTTGTTTAGTTAAGAAATCAAAAGCGTCGCAACAAATTATTGTAAACGTCTGAAATGTTTATGAGTCCAATTGCAGATATGATCCGCTGCTTGGTATTAATTATTTTGATAGAACAATTAATTAGCTCCATATTACTGTAGTGATTGATAAGTGAGCTTATCTAAAATTGAGGATCTTCAAGTAAAAACCTTGGGCGTAAATTTAGCTTTAAACTAAACATTGGTCACAAACAAGGCATGTTGATAACTCTGTTGATAGACAATCTGGCAGTTCTTAATCGCAATTTTAAGATGTATAAATATAAATAAATAATGGATTGTTTTGTTTTCTTAACAAGTTAACTTGATTAGAAATCACAACAAGCTGCTTATCAGACATTTTTAATAAGCTAAAACAACCTTTCGCACAGAACATGATTGGGAGAGTAAACTTTCCAGGCCAATCAACTTCGATAGACTTGGCAGGGGTTTCCGAAATGATCGATAAGTGCACTTATTAACAGTCTGGCAACTCCAATTAGCACAAATTTAATTTGCTTTTAAGATTTGAGAATCTTTTCATTTAATTTCCAGGCATTTTAACGCCCAAAAGGAACTTTAAAAGACTCATGAATGGCTTCTAATAATATTAGACCCAAGGAATTTTCATGAACTTTTTCAATTTTAATGCGTGCGATGACCTGAAAGATTAGTTCAGCTAACACTTTCACACCTGCCCACACACACACACACACACACGCATACACACTTCCAGTCATATACGTAAACTTTTCAATTGACAACTTTTCGTCTTTAGTATACCCAAAAAAGAGAAGAAAAAAGGAGAAAAACTTTTTACACCTGCAAATTCTAATCCACTTAAATGCTTAACAGCATTATCATGCGGTCGCCCAGCCACGCCCACAATGTGGCCACTCCCACCCACTAAAAAACTGTGCCGGCAGCAAAAACAACTTCTCGCCCATTGTTAAAAAAAAAAGAAAACAAAACAAAAAAACTTCAATTAAATCTCGTTTTAAGTGAGAGGCTCAGGCCCGAAGGGAAAAATTGTTTGTAAGCTGTCCCAAAATAGATGGGCAAAAAAAAAAAACAACAACAAGAAGCAGAACGAGAAAAATTTGTAGCTTTGCCTCGGATCCGCTCGGGCATTGTCTAAAAATGCAAATTTAGCCGAAAAAAGACAAAAAGTGAATAATTATGCGGCGAGAAAAAAACATTAACACCTTCAATTGGGTAGAGAAAAATGTATTTTCCTCTGCTTTTTTTTTGGCTAAAACTTTGCAGCACAACTGTACTTGATTCGTTTTTCATTCACTACTTTTGTGTCTTGCAATTTTCGCACTTTCGCGCATTAAAAATGTTTGTGATGCAATTAATGCGACCGGCGGCAGCAGAGGAAAAAATCTGCAGAGCGAACAAAAAAAATGGGTGCAAGAATTTTTTAATTAAATTTTGCGGCCGGACAGTTGAGTGAGAAGTGAGCGCCGAATGGCAGGGGCCTTGGCAGGGGTTGGGGTTGGGGGTGCCAAGAGGAATGCACACTCAAGCGCAAAATATTTGCTGGCCACGTAATGCAATTTAGACTTGAATTGGACAAAACATAGGCAAGCAGCACACAAATGATGGAGGGGAAATAAAAAACAAAGAAGCGCGCAAATCGCGTGACAAAATGAAGTCAAGCGAACGACATTTTGGGCCGCAGGGCACAGAAAATCGACCAGAAAGACATCTGCTGAGAAACTATCAATCAAAAGACAAAATGTTGATTATTATTAATAAAAAGGGGGACCGAAGCGTGCAGCTTTATTTATTTATTATTATATTTATTTGTGGTCTTGTGGCTGTAAAACAAATCAATGAAGCGTTCGATTTGCTCAACTTTGAAAGGGGGCGAGCAATTTGTCGAGGGGAGGGTTGGATAATTGTAATTTTACTTTTACTTTTGCCTTTAAATAATTCAGGCAAAATTGAAAGTGCTCGGCCTGCAGCGTTTTCGGTGAATAACTAACGAGAAAAGTTCAATTCCAAATACATTGTATTTCGTGCTATTCGAGAAAGCCAAATAAATGCAAAATATTTGTCCATATTAAATTCGTAAGCAAATACATTTGACCCGTTGCAAATATTTTGTTTATTTAAGAAATGTCTTTATAAAAAATAAACATATTTTTGCACAAAATCAAAGCAAACATATTTATTTTAAAATTTTACGTGCAACTTTATTTATGAGAAAAATCCATTTTATGCTGAACTAAAACTCAGCTCCAAAATGCAAACACTTCAGTTTTTGTGGAGCTTTACAACAGCTTATAAAATTTTAAATAAAACGCATGAATAAATAACTAATGTTATTGAGTGGAAGACAAATATCAGATCAAAAGAAATATATTCTTAAAAGTTGTTAAGAGTCAGATGAACTATTTATTTGATTACAACATAACTTTTGCACGCAACATTTTCAGTTGGGGAAATAAAATGTATAAGTTATCATTTTACAATGCGCACAACCCGGCGTATACGTAACTTATATTTAAAGTGCATTCAACCCTATTGTGCTCGTAATGCTTCAAGATGAAACAATAGAAAAGTCTCGAGCTCGAAAATAGAGACACCTCAAAAGCATAAAAGTTGTGAGGCCCAAAATTGAGTGTGGCCATAATTCATGATTATGCAAAAAGGTCAACAGCTTTTGACTGGACCGAAGGGACAGTCCACTTTTGTTACGGCTCACTTTATTCTCTTCTTTTTTTTATTACGCGCCTGTCGCGTTTGGCAAATTAAATTAAATGTCCGGCAGCATACACACCACGATTTTGTTGCTGCTAAAAGGGATGCAGGATTATTGTGCCTTCCTTATTCACCTTCCTTTTTTATTTTTTTTTTGTGCATTTTTTATGCTGCTTTTTATGGGCCGTAGCGCTGGCAGCTTGACAGGCCTGACCGGGCGGACAGGCAAATTAATCAAACTAAACTGCCAAAGGATCAGCAGGAGAATGATGAGCAGCCCACAAAGTGGGCATTAGAGAGGGGGGCGGGGGAAAACTGGGGTAGATTAGGTAAGGTGAGACACTCTCTTCACGCGCAGTTTGTTGTTTAACGAGCATTAAAATCAAATTGAAAGTAGCTGGACATCTGATTGATAAATCTGGTTGTCCTCCTTTATTGTCCCTGAATGTCCTTTTGACCAACTACTTGGGCAAATATATTAATTATATAATTTTAAGCACCGACAGCTCTTAAGACCCTGTCTAACTAGACTCTCTTTCTCTCTCTCTCTTTCAGCTCTATGCCGGCGCCAAGATGAGACGCACCAGCACTCAAACAGCGACCACGCCCACATATCGACAACTTTGGCTGCCGTCGCTGCTTTTGCTTTTAGCAGGCAGCAGCCGCACCAGCGCCCAATGTCCCTGGCAGCGAGATGTGCCCGATCTGCAGACGAGCTGCATATGTGCCTATAATCTCGGACGAGAGCTGAGCGTACAATGCGATCAGGTAAAAAAAATTGTTTAAAAACGAATTCAAGAGAATCTTTAGTGTTTTGTTCAAAAATCAGCAAAATGAAAGTACATAAAGATTTATCCCCAAGATGATTTTTGCATTTATAATTTTTAAATTATTATATTTTTTGCCAATTTATTTCTTACTCTGTGAGCTTAATTTCTTTTAATTTATCAATTTTATCTTGGTAATCGAATCAGTTGTTGTTTGAGTTTCAGTGAGTTGTTTAATAAAAGTGACTTGTAAAGCTCATGGTAAAAGCTGCTGGTAAACTAAAAACTTTAAAATATTCCTTGTCTTTTAAAGCAAATTACAACTTGTAGCTTTAAATTTTGTGTTAGTTGATTACCCTTTGATTTCTTGTACACGTCAGGTCGAGTTCACGCAATTGCTGGAAGCAATGAACAAATATGCGCGTCTAAAGCCCGTGGACTTGTTGTATGTGAACAATGCGACAATTGAAGAGCTGCCAGATGAGGTGTTTAGCAATCTGAGTCTGCACAATGTGCAGCTATCCAGTTGCGGCATCAAGAGGATTGCAAATGGCGCATTTAAGGGGCAGGAGTCGGTGCTAAAGAATCTCAATCTGCAGGATAATCTGCTGAGCGAGGTGCCCGTGGAGGCGCTGCAAGTGCTGGGCAGGCTCAATCTGCTGGATCTGTCTCGCAATCAGCTCTCCAACATACCCGACGATGCCTTTGCGGGCCTGAACAAGCTGTCCACGCTGAAGCTGAACGACAACAATGTGACGCTGGCGCCGGGCGCATTTCGTGGCCTCGAGCAGAGTCTGAAGAATCTCAATTTGAAGGGCACGAAACAGCGTCGCGTGCCGGAATGCATACGCGGTCTGAAGAGCTTGGCTTTCCTGGATCTCTCGCAGAATGGCATCAAGGAGCTTCCGGGCGCCGGTGGCATACGCGTCTTCGATGGCCTAGACGCGCTCACAGCGCTCAATATGGAACGGAATCTCATCCAGAGCATTGCGGAGACGGCATTTGCGGGCGTGCGAAAAACGTTGAGCTCGCTGAGTTTACTCAACAATTTGCTGTCGGACTTTCCCATCGGCGCTGTGCACTCACTGAAGGAGCTGCGCGTGCTGGACATTGGTTTCAATTTGCTTACCAGCCTGCCGGAGGCGGCTTTCCGTGGAAATCCGAGCATCACACTGTTGGCCCTCGACGGCAATCCACTCAGCACGGTGCCGGAGGGTGCATTTGCTCATTTGAATGCCACACTGCGTGGTCTGTCGCTGGGCGGGCGCTTTCTGCACTGCGATTGCAAACTGCGCTGGGTTGCCGAATGGATACGCAATGGCGATTTGCAGGTGAGTGTAGCGTATGCCTATCCATTCCATTGTTTCCTAGGTGACGCCTCTCCTCTCGTTATCTCTCTGTCTTTCGCTAGGTCACCTCACGTGAGCGCAATCCACAGTTTTGTGGCACGCCGCCGCGTTTTCGCGATCGCGGCTTCTACTCCATACAGCCAGAGGAGCTAAGCTGCCCCGAAATAGCCGATGCCGCGCTCCGTGGTCCAGTCGGTCTGGCCGATAATCTCAAGCCGACGTTTCCTTCTTCACCCGATTCCGTAGAGTTTGAGACGGGCTCAGCTATTGGAACGGGCACCGGAACAGCCGCCTCGGCGCCTGTTGCCACAGCCCCAACAACAACAACCACATTGTCCACGACAACAACCACAACAACAACAGCAGCGCCTACAACTAGTTCCAGCTCCAGCACATCAGCCAGCACGGTGAGTGATTGTATTGGTTGCAATTCGAAAGCTGAAACCAGTTTACAGACGAACTTGATAGATATGAACCAATAGCGAACCAGTTTGCTGAGTTCGGAACTAGTTTTGATCAAGCTGACCCACCATTTGAACTAGTTTAATATGAATCAGGAACCAATTTAAACGCGCTTAGAACTAGATGCTAAAAAGTGATATTGAAAGGGTAAAAATCATCACTTGAACCTAGATTTGAATGCATTAAATCAATTTATTAGCTGCATTTCAACATTCCTTTTAGCGTGAACTAAAATTGAAATTGAATGAATGAATTGAACAGCTTTAAACGAGCTTTTGAAAAAGGTTTCAAGAATTATATTTTATAATTATATAGGACCAATTTGTAAAAAAGCTAAGTAAAAGAATTAAAACTGATTAAATTGCTTAATTAAATTAATTTGAATGGTAAAACTAGGCAGGATGAGAAAATAAGCTATAAATATATACAGCAGAAAATTCTTGATTATTAGATTCACCTTTGAGACTAGAAAGTTCCCATTCGGATCTTAACTAGTTCCAAAATGACAATAAAATGCACAATTTTGAGCGATTTTTTAAATGTAAGAAATTATTTATGCATAGTCAGCTACATGAATATCTCTTTTTTTCCATGTGGTCGCGCCACATGCCACAACAGACTCGTGCCCCAACACAAGCCACAACGAAAGCGACGAAGGCAGCAGCTGCTTCGCCAACGGTGGGCGTCAATGGTACCGGCAGCGTTCAGGCCACGGCCATCTCGTCGACGAGCAGCAGCAGCAGCAGCAGCTCCTCGACATTGCACACAGCCGGCAAACAGGCGCCCGGCTGGCGACAGGGAGCCAATGTCAATGCCAATGGCAGCCAACACAAGCCGCAGCGACCACCGCTGGTGCTGGGCTATCCGCCGCAGCGTGGCACACGCATCGACGATGCCAACGAGGTGCAGGTGAAGCATGCGTTCCGCCAGGACAGCTCCGTGATCATACAATGGGACTCGGAGACGGCCAACATATTGGGCTTCCGCGTTGTCTATCGCCTGTTCGGCGAGAAGGCCTTCAAGCAGGGCCCGCCGCTGGAGGCCAGCGAGCGTGAGTTCAAGATCAAGAATGTGCCCGCCCAGGAGTGCATCATAGTGTGCGTCATATCGCTGGAGGAGCTGCACGTCACGCCCGAAACGGTGCCCTATCAGCAATGCCGCGAGGTGCGCACCGTCTCCTCGCAGACCTCCAACATGGATAAGATAACCATAGCGGCCAGTGCAGCCATTTGTGGCACCATCATTGTGGCTGTGATTGTGTTCATTGCGGCAAGCAGGTGAGACAATTGTAACTGCTTCACGGGGCGACCTTTAAAGCGTGTTAGGCCTATTTGATGGCATCCATAAATATTTTATGCTATCAGCAAGAACATTATCAAATGCCTCTCCACACTCTCTCTTGCAGACGCTCGCGCAAACTGCAAAATAACCAGCAAAAGAGTCCGCTGCCAATTGGAGGTTTGCCCGTTAATTGTTGCGGTCCAACCGGTTCGCCAGGACCACTTGGCTCGATTGCCACGCTATCGGCGTTTAACAATCACAAGGTGAGTTTGGTTGCCAATTGGCCATAAAAAATATATATGGAGCGGATTGGCCAAAACGTTGGCCTCAGGTTGTTGCTAAATTGGCCTCTGTGACTCGGAAATGGCCGCAATTGAAGCCAACATTTTTCCATATATATATTTTTTTATTTTTATTTATTTGCCAACAAATTAAACGTGGCAGGCGGAAAAAGAAAAAGATGTAGCCTATATTTTTGGTCTAAATTCCCCTCTGTTTTCAGCTAGTTGCCAACAAAATATTTAGTTGAGTTTTAAATAAATTTGAATTTATATAGCTGCAGCCAGATACTAAAGCTATTTTATAGTCCCAACAAACCGAGAGAATAGTCTGCTTTAAGTGTAAATTAAGCGGCGTTTAAAATGATTGTAAACAAAGTTTATTCATGTTTGAGTTAAGGTCAAACTGATTGCACAGATTTTTGTACAAAAAGAATATGCTTCATGCCAGTTAACAGCATCGAATATTATACAGACGAATATTTAAGAAAATTCTTAGGCCTATTTTCTAAAAAAATAAAAAACCCAGCAAGATAACTTGCAAATAGTTTAAATTCAATCTTTGGACAGAAATTTAAGAGCTCAAGGATATGCAGATGATTGCACATGCTATTAGTATTGCCTATTATCATGTCAAAGACAACAACTTTACTTGAAGAATTCTTTAAGAATAAAGTATTTTAAAAGTTTAAGCTATAAAGACAAATTAAAGAAAGCCAAAAAACAGTTTAGCTGCGTCTTTTACAGACAAAATTCTAATAACTTATTTCTCTTAATAGAAACTCAAGTAAGTTCTTTAAAATCTGCCTCAATCAATTATTATCTCTCATGACCATAACCATGCCCTGCTCTTATATCGCGCCTTCTCTCTTCCCTTAGGAATGGGATCAAGTATCAGCGTACAGTGGACGCTCGATACCGCGACCACGCATCTATCCAGTCGAACAGCCCGACGATATGCGCAGTCATTTCTCTGGCATGCCCGGCAAGGTGGCCAAATCAAGGTATGTAGAGTAACAGCTAGTCGGTGTTGACATCGAAATTAATACAAAACAGCCTCAATCATTGAAAATGTTGGCCAAATATTTGCTTGATTTTTGCCATATTTAATTTGTGTTTATTTTATTGTAATTTCATATTTCATTATGTTTGTTATTTATTCATGCCACAACACGATGCACACACACTCATTCACACACACACGAACGTACACATACACACATGCGACTGCCACACACAACACCAAAGCAGATCCATAGCCGATGGGCAGTCGCAGCACAGTTTCTCGAATAATTCACATCGCGGCTATTTGGGCAGCGCCTTCCCCACAAATCTGGTCAATTCGCGCCCGGAGCTGCGTCAATCGCGCCAGTCGCTGGCCGCTGCCTCCGAGCGCATGTCGCGCGCCTCCTACGCCGGCTCCATACATGGCGGTGGCGGTGGTGGACCTGGCGGCGGCGGTGCCAACGGCATGGGCGGCATGGTCGGCGCCGGCAGCTTGATGGGCATGAGCGGGCTGGTTGGCCCCGGCGGGCCAGCCAGCATTGCATCCAGCAATGCAAGACGCTCGCGTCCGCGCTCCAGATCACGCGATCAACTGAACACAACGCACATACATAACCATCGACCGGGAAGTCGGTAAGTAGAACGCAGACACACAACAACCAAAAGATGCTAACCCTCCAGGTGATTGGTGCGGCTCAAAGAGACAGCATTCACACACTCAATTAACACACACTTACACACTCACACACAACACACACAACTCGGATAACTGTCACATTTCGCTAATTACAAGCGTCACACTTTCAATTTTTTTGCTCAAGAGTTTCTCAAAACAAAACCTGTTTTTTTTTATTATCATTTTTTATGTGTTGCCATTAAATTAATTATTAACCAGTTGCGCATCTCCCTCTTCCACCCAAGAGCAGAACTAAAGCTTTTCAAAGCATGTCTTGAGCTTTGAGTATGTTTTGCTAATATTTGCATAATAAAAGCATTTAAATTAGGTTTGCTTTGACTCTAATTTTTGCTTTTTGAATTCACAAAAATATTTAATTAATGCGCGTAAAAAACAATGTTTGCTAATTTGCGGAAAAGTAAACTGAAAAAAGCACAAATATTTAAGTTTGTAAAAACTGAAATACTCGAAGCCTAGTAGGTTTTATTTGAGCCAAAAACTACTATTTAATTTTTTTAATAAATCAATCAAGCTTTGGGAATAGGAAACTACAACGAAAAATTATATGAGGAGAATAGCAAAGAGAAATTATAAAGACGGTCCAATTAGAATTCAAATATTTAAAACTGTTTTTAAGAACAAGAAGAAATTGTATATTCCAGTCGATATTTGGAAACATTTTCGATTCTCATAGAAGACCATCAAGAAATTATATATATTATCTATTTAAGATATTTGGAAATATAATCGTTTGCTAAGGGAGAAGAACATTAAATTGTGTATATTATCCATTTAAAATATAAACATAAACAAAACAACATAAATATAAACACTTTATTTTTAATAAAATAGATAGAAGTAAAAAGCTGTTCTTCTCTTTTTCTGATAGTTTGACTGACGGATTAATGGTTAAGAGCACTCTTTTGTTATAGAAAAAACTCATTTAAAGTCAAACTACAATTTTTAATGAAAGCCTCCCCATTTATTATGCAATCTGTAAAACAAATAAAGTACCTTCGACAATAGCCTTAATTTAACGCCTATTCAATTAATTAACCACCTCCGAGCAAACCTCATAGTAACTTTTAATAAACGAACACAACTAACTGTTTACTTAATTCATTATTATCTTTTTTTGCTGTTATTTGCTTTGCTCAATGTTGTAAATTCGTTACGTCCATTATATTTAATTTCGTTTGGTTTCGTTTCGGCTTTAACATTTTTGCACAAGTCATTAACCGCCTTTTCCACACAACTTTCCCAACACACAAATTGAGTAAATTGTTGTGCATTGTAATTGATCTATTCCCCCCTCTCGCTCCCTCTTGCTCTCTCTCTCTCTCTCTCTCTGCTTGAGCAGATATTCGACAGCTGGTTCAACGCACACGTTGAACAATTATTGCGACACATCGGACAATTGGACCGATCATGATATGGATATATATATGGCGCGCAATCCAACAACGCGCAACGGTCTGGTGCCATTATGAGGGCGGCTCATGTTATCCTGATATTTCAATGTTGTATTAAATTTGGATGGCATTTTCTGACAATATCTGACGCCGGCCATGGCAGCGGGTGGCGGTGCAGGCGATGGACGGCGTCAGCAGCAAACTGCTGCAACACAACAGCAGCAGCAACAACAGCAACGACATAGAAACAATCAGCAATTGGAGCAGCCATATCAACTACAACAGCAACATCAACTACAACAGCCACAACAACAGCAACAACAACGTTTACAATATTACAATACACCGCAAACGCAACGCTGCACCTCGCCGCCAGATGTGGTGCCCCGTGCAGCCAATTTCCATAATAGCAGCAGCAGCAGCAGCAACAGCCACGCGTGCAGCACCAACAACAACAACAATCAGCAACAGTCGCTGTTGCCAGCTTCGACAGCAGCAGCAGCAGCAGCAGTAGACAACGGCGGCATTGTTGTTGAGAACTATTTTAACGAATATGAGCGTCAGGAAATCATTTATCACCCCACAAGCAACAGCAGCAACAGCAACAACAATAGCAGCAGCACGCCAGCAACACGTCTGGGCAGCCGCAGCAATGCCTTTCGTTTACAGTTAAACGCGGCGGCAACGACGAATGCAACGACTAACAATATTTTATATAGACGAAACAATTATTTAATAGATGCAACTAATGCGCATACATTTAGTGATAACTGTAACTGTACTTGTAATTGTAGCCTAAGCGAGCAGCAGCAGCCGCAACAGCAGCAACACCAGAGAACAGCAGCAACAACAACTGACAGCAGTTGTGTTGACACACAAGCAGAAGCATCCTTGGCGCCGAGCACCTCAGTGTCAAGCATTGAGCAAGTGCAGCCAGCTAAATATGAGCATGAGACAGCAACAATTGCAACAGCAGCAACAACCACAGCAACAACAGAAGCAGCAGCAGCAGCTGAGGCCTTGTCTGAACTGAACTTGACATTGGCTGACATTGACACGGACTTGGACTTGGACATGGACACGCTTTGAGTGCAATACATAATTCTAGTTGTTCCTGCTAACAATTTAGTTGCTGTTGCTGTTGTTTTCGTGTCCCAAACAATTTGCATAACATTTAGAAAGAAGAAAATAAGCAACTCGAAGAACTTAGCTAAACTATTTTTGTATGCTGTTTGTGTTTTTGTGCAATGAATACGTATGTTAACCACATAGACATTATATTTGGTTTGTGTACATAAATGTATCTGTATCTGTATCTGTATCTGTATCTGTAACTGCAATTGTATCTGTAACTGTAACAGCGCTTTCCTTGGTTCTTTGTCGTTGTGCGCGTAGATTTTTTTGGTATATCAGCAAATGTTAAGCAATCAAAGAACTAACACGTAAGTCAATATCTTATAAATGGTACTAATACACACAAACACACACACACACACACACACACAACACACACACACACACACACACACAACACACACTTACACACTAAACTATTTAATATAGCATAGAAATGAACAAAACAAAAATCTACAAAATCAATTCAAAACTGCGGTTGGACAAGCATAGAAAATGAATTATTTGTTTAAAAAGAAAATATCACTACTGTACATAATATTATATTATAATATTATTGCTTAAACCATTTATATTTATGCATTTAATTCAAGCACATTTTTATGTTAATTAAAACAGTTTTAAAATATTTCATATTTTTTACTGATTTTATGTTAGAAAAGTGCTTGAATGAATGCTTTAAAGAATCAATCTCTTTTGATTTAAATAAAATATAAAAAACAAAAACATTTTCTTTATAATAATTTAATATATTTTCCAACCCACTTTGAGCAATTAACAAGAGTCTCAAGAGAAGTTACAAAATTCTCAAATATTTCATTTGCTATGCTTGTCGAAACCAGTCAAACAAAAGAAAGAAAAAAAAAAAAGAAAAAAATCACATTCCAATTGCCCTGCAAGTGGGGCGTTTACTGCCTTGAATATACTGAGTAAATTATGAGAAATTGCATTTTCTCGAAATTTGTGTTGAGCATTTTTAACAAGCAATTTTTTATTTGCAGTCCAAGAATTTACATTTTGTATAAAAGCTTCAGTCGAAACGTTTGTGTGCTAAGTTTTATACTTATAACAATTATTTGTTTAATTTTTATGTTTAATTATAATTTTATAGTGAGATTTTAATAAAATTAAAAGAAATCAAATTAGAAGAAATTTACTCTTTTCGTTTATAAATAAATTCTAGTTTTTAAAGGAAGGTTTGTATTTAATTTTATTATAATTCTTTTCATATTTTGTTGCCTAACTTTTTTTCTAAAATCTTTTTTTAATATTTATGATTTATATTCATTAATATATTTAGTGTAATTTTTGTATGCTTACTGTAAATCTTTGTACATAATATTGATAGCCTTAAGCTTTCTATTTGAGTTTCAAACATTCTTAATGATGGGATTTGCCTGAGCGCAAATCCGAGCGAACACAGTTGACAGTTAACAATATTTAGTGCCCGTGGGCAGGATTTGGGCCCTACAAAGCCCAAATCCACAATGCTCATGTCTGGCACTAAATACTTAGTACGTTAAGGTAAATATATCTATTAGAATTCGATTTAAGAACAAGTTAAGATAACGCTTTGAGCATTAGACAGGTAAGCAACACACAATTTAGATGGAAAACGGGAGCAATTATTTAGAACAACAACAATAAAATTATAAATATAAACTATATGAATAAATATAAATCAATTGTAGGTAATAAATTTGGAAGATAACAAGAAGAAGCAGCAGCAGAAGAAGAAAACACCCAACAATTTTAGGCTTATATTTAAAACTAGAGCAAATGCAAATGTTTCACTTGTAAAGTAAGCAAAATAAATAGTTAAGAATTTCATTGATCGATAACTCGATACACGGCTGAGTTATCGATTATAGTAGAATGTAAGAAATGCAAAATCAAATTTAGTATTAAACATAATTACAATGAACTAAATTAATAAACTGCCTTAGCACCAGCGAGAAAAGAGATCGAAAATGAGGAAAAAGCACGTGCTTAGTTTTTAGTTTAGCAGCACTTTAGAGTACCAAGATGAGCTGGATTTGATGGAACTGTGTATTGAACACAAATACTGCCAAACATTAAGTTCCAATAATAGAAAATCACGTGACTTTAAGGACATGTCCTTAAGAGATCTACTTGAATTCACTTCCTTTTGAACCCTTATACAATAGATTTTCTGTAAGAAGGAGTTGGGAATCTTAAGTATTTTGTTGTCGTCCCCCAATTTGTAAACATTTCTCTTAAATGTCACGCTGAAACCCATAAGAAACATGATTCTGAGGAGGGCTCATCTCTTAAGCCACAAGCGACACCAACAACGATAGATCGTTAAGCAAAACACCACCCGATTTTAGATTTTAGAACGGATCAAAGTTACTCTCTAACAATAAATGTGTGTTAAATTGTTAATGTATTCACTAAAGTGTTAACTTTGCGGCTTCAACAGTAACAAAATAATATATAACAAAGCGTTAGCAAAAACTTCATTAGAGACAAGTTTTGACAGTTTTGTTTGTTGTATTCGAAATATAGAAAAAAAATAAAAAACACAAATTTTTCGTTTATACGCATCAAGTTCCAAATAAAGCATATTTTTGTTAAGACCCATAGTTGTATTAATATTTCGTATTGTTCGGGGTACTCACCCGGGCACTGATAGAGAATTATCCCACAATAAACGCAATTGACGCGTAAAGGCCGCCCACAGCTGCGCCATGCCCTCCAAACTGCCCAAATGGGCGTGGCAAGTGGCCAACAAGCAGCTGAGACGACAAACCAAAGAATCAGCAACTGCGCTCTTGATGCTCATCGGATCGAACTGCAAGAAAGAAAGCTATAAAAATTTAGATATTTCATCAAATAATCAGTTACTATAAGTTTAAGTGTAAGTAATGTGTTTATGTAAACTGTATCCACCTACCCAATCGAAGATCCCTAAAAGAAGTATTGAAAAGGGGGCACCGAAAACTCAATACAGCTGGTGTATATAACGAAACCTTTAAATGTGTTTATAAAGCTATAAAGGCGCTATATCATATATAGAATGTTGATGATATGTTACACATTATAAAGCTCATTATTGATGCGTATGGATAAGGTAGCTCGAAAAAGAGTCTCAATAAAAAAAATGAAACAAATCAACACAAGACATCAATTTTTAACCAATTGTTCCTTCGAAAGCTGAATTACATAGTTCTTCTATCCAATAGACCCAAAATACATCGCTGTATTAAACTAAAAGTCTTATTGAGAGTTAGAAGCAAATTGACTTAGAACACGGAAGCAAAATTATCGTTCGAGTTCGTCATGCTAATCAAGAATATATAATCAATAGGCTTTGAGCTATCTCCTAATGCATTAGCTGTTTGATGTAGAAATGAACCTGCTGGAAGGGTAAACACGTTCATAATTGTAAAACGACTCACCTTTTCTTTGAAGCTCTGCTTGGCATAGGGAAATAGCGCCATTTCTGGATGCATATCGGGAAACAGATATGCCAATAGCTCCGTGAGTTCGCTCTCTGTCATGGGTCCAGGCAAACGTTTGGTAAGACCTGCCTGCGAGGGCAGCTCATAGTTGCGCTCCCTTCGCGCGGTCAGCTTGTGTTCCGTCAGCTTATCCAATGGATTTGTGCGCTCGGCGCCGCTGCTGATGCCAGAGAAATTGCGACCCACATACGATTCCAGCGAGCGCACGACCTTGCCCACCGCTTGATAATCTTGCAAGCAGCAACTTAGGTACGAAAAGGCCTCCACAGATAAATAGATCTTGCCCAACGGTGCTTTGGAGGGCAAAAAATCCGTGCGCTGTTCGCTATCAAAGGCCACGGTTTCCGAGAGCTCTGGCCAGGTGTAGACCAGGTAGCTCTCTGTGGATGACTCTGGCGCATAACCATGCGGTAGTGCATAGAAATGCTGCACATCCAGTTGCTCCACGTCGCCATCGATGGCTATGTCCTC